GGGGTCCCCTGTGGGTTTGGGGGTCTCCTGTGGGTTTGGGGGCTCCCCCTGTGATTCTGAGGTGGGTTTGGGGGTCCCCTGTGGGTTTGGGGGTCTCCTGTGGGTTTGGAGGCACCTCTGGAATTTAGGGGGGATTTTGGGGGGTCCCCTGGGATTTTCGGGGTCCCCTGTGGATTTGGGGGCACCCCTGGAGCTTAGGGGGGTCCCCACGATCTGGGTGGGCTCTGCCAGGCTGGGTGGGGGTCCCTCGGGGGGTGTTTTGGGGGTGACCGCCCCCCAGGGGTGGGTGGGGATCCCCAGGGGGGTGTTTGGGGGTAGATGGATCCCCCAGGGGGTATTTTTGGGGGTGACCCCCCCCATTTTTTGCCCCCCCAGACGAGCGGGACGCGGTGCAGAAGAAAACCTTCACCAAGTGGGTGAACGCCCACCTGGCCCGGGCCGCGTGTCGGGTGGGGGACCTGTACGTGGACCTGAGGGACGGCTTCGTCCTCACCCGCCTGCTCGAGGTGCTCTCGGGGGAGAGCCTGGTGAGGGCACCTTCAGCTTCATCAGCTTCATCGTCATCTTCATCTTCATCACCATCATCATCGTCATCATCGTTATCATTGTCATCATCATCAACGCCGTCCTCACCCGCCTGCTCGAGGTGCTCTCGGGGGAGAGCCTGGTGAGGGCACCTTTAGCTTCATCAGCTTCATCAGCTTCATCATCTTCATCATCATCTTCATCATCATCTTCATCATCTTCATCTTCATTGTCAGCATCATTGTCATCGTCATCATCAACGTTGTCCTCACCCGCCTGCTCGAGGTGCTCTCGGGGGAGAGCCTGGTGAGGGCACCTTCAGCTTCATCAGCTTCATCGTCATCTTCATCATCTTCATCTTCATCATCATCTTCATCATCGTTATCATTGTCATCATCTTCATCATTGTCATCATCATCAACGTCATCTTCACCCACCTGCTCGAGGTGCTCTCGGGGGAGAGCCTGGTGAGGGCACCTTCAGCTTCATCATCTTCATCGTCTTCATCATCATCTTCATCATCATCTTCATCATTGCCATCGTTATCATTGCCATCATCATCATCAACGCCGTCCTCACCCGCCTGCTCGAGGTGCTCTCGGGGGAGAGCCTGGTGAGGGCACCTTCAGCTTCATCATCTTCATCATCTTCATCGTCTTCATCATCTTCATCATCATCTTCATCATTTTCATCATCATCTTCATTGTCATCATCTTCATCTTCATCATCATCTTCATCATCATCTTCATCATTGTCATTGTCATCAATGTCATCCTCACCCACCTGCTCGAGGTGCTCTTGGGGGAGAGCCTGGTGAGGGCACCACCTGCTCATCTTCATCGTCATCTTCATCATCTTCATCATTATCATCATTGTCATTGTCATCATCGTTATCATTGTCATCATCATCGTTGTCATTGGCATTGGCATCGTCATCGTCCTCACCCGCCTGCTCGAGGTGCTCTCAGGGGAGACCCTGGTGAGGGGCACCACTTGGGCACCTTCATCTTCATCGTCATCTTCATGATCATCTTCATTGTCATCATCATCATCATCATCATCAAATCAACATCGTCATCATCAAGTCAACATCATCATCGTCAAATCAACATCATCATCGTCAAATCAACATCATCATCGTCAAATCAACATCAACGTAAACTTCATCAACGTCATCCCCATCAACATCATCACCAACATCAAATCAGCATCGTCATTATCATCGTCAATGTGAACATCATCATCATCCTCCTCGTCATCAACATCATCATCATCGTCAATGTGAACACCATCATCATCCTCCTCGTCATCAACATCATCATCATCGTCAATGTGAACATCATCATCATCAATGTGAACATCATCATCATCATCAATGTGAACATCATCATCATCCTCCTCGTCATCAACATCATCATCATCGTCAATGTGAACATCATCATCATCCTCCTCGTCATCAACATCATCATCATCATCAATGTGAACA